CATGTGCAAGCGCACACGCACATGCTAACTATAATTGATTTTTAAAAATTTCATAACATAACGTAGGATCCAGTTATTCTCAGCCAGGCAGTGGTGGCACATGCCTTTAATCCCAGGGGGGCAGAGATAGGCAGATCTCTGAGTTCAAGGCCAACCTGGGCTACAGAGTGAGTTCCAGGAAAGGCTCCAAAGCTACACAGAGAAACCCTGTCTCAAAACAAAAACAAACAAACAAAAGATAAAAAAAACCCAGTTATTTTCACATAGTTTCTCTCCACCTCAGTTTTCCTGCCATTTACAATGAATTAATTGCACTTGATCTTATCAAATGATTGTGAGAATTGAAACAAGAGTGATGCTCAGCCATTTATGGTGGTGGTAGTGGTAGGGTACCGGATGTAGAAGGGATGTAAAGATGATCCCAAAAAGCCATAGACAAAAAAGGAAACTGGAGTGCTCGAGGAGAAGCCCAGCTCTGGGGGCCGTGACCTCTTTTGTGCCTTCAGGAGCAGTAGCCGTGAGTGGTTCCTAGAGCCACCCAGCCTTTTGACTTTTGTTTATAGATCTGGGCTTCCAGATAAAACTTGGCTTGACGTAGACGAGCTTTTGAAAGACGGCTCGAAAGCCACTGCTTTAACCAAAATTGGTAGGACAGAGCAGAACAGCCCCACCAGTCTCTAGGGGAGCTGTGTGGGCCCCAGGGCAGAAGTGTTGAGGTGCAGCTGGTGGATGTGGGCCTGGGAAGAAAGTAGATGTCCATCGACTCATCAGAAGCTGCGGGGCTTATGTGGAGTTGTTGTCTCTGGTTTTTGTGTTTGCAAAGTGAAGCTTTTCCTATGCTGATCCAACAGCCTCATTCCTTCCAACAGGAGTGGCCGCTAAGGTTATGGAGGCAGAAAATTGCAGAATTTCTTTTAAAGAGTAGTAGGGCACAGCGTGTGGGTGAAAGCTGGGGATACAGGGTGGTTTGAATACCATTGAATACCTGTTCATCTGCCCATACATAGGCAAGCTACTGGGTCCTTCCAGGATTTACTTTTCTGAATGTCGAAATAAGAAACATGGGCATGACTGAAAATCCTTCATATTTTAAACTCTTAAATAAGTTTACTTTCATATCCTTTATGTCCATTTCTGAGGGGCCTGTGTATATATATTTCCTCACTTCCCAGAGAAGTCTGGGGCCCCAGACAGATCGATATGATTAGAGAATTTGGCATCCCTTCTAAGCTCTATGTTATTTTATTCCACAATGAAGTCTCATTAGTTTGTGCCTCCTAGAATAAATCAATCTTTCCAAGACTGACGGGGATTGTATGGAAGAAGAGGTTTTGCGGCCGTAACCCGGGTGCATTTGTTGTGATGGGAAGAACGTGAGCCGGTATTACGCTCTTGCTTTGTGCTCACAGCTGTTTCTTCTGTGGAGATCATTCCTTTGTACTCTCTACCAGCTAGCTCTGCCCTTACAGTAGGTGACAGTTCCGAGCTGTGCCCACAGACCTAAAGTATGTTTGCCTGGGTGATTCTCATGCCACATGAGCACATGATTTATAGCTTTACATTTTTTTTTTTTTAATTTCTTCTTGGACATTTTGTCCTGCCTCTGTGGTCCCCATGGCTTTTATTTGAAATCCTTCTGGCATGTTTACTTAGCATAATAGTTCATCTATTTACAGAACATTT